GGGGTTTGCAGTACTAGAGGTAGTAAAACATTTGGACCATGAGGTCACTTCTTCTCCATTAAGACAATGGAGGACTGTTCACAGCATACAGAAAAAGAGGAAGAAAGTCAATATCTGTGGAGGCACCCCCAGGTATATGGCACTGCTAGATGCTTTTCAATTTTGTATTTACATCTCTTACCACCCTCATAAGGTAACTATGATATTATCTCCCTCTTACATGTGAGCAAGTTATACCTAACAAATGTCAAATAACTTATCTAAGTCCCCAGATAGAAAGGGCAACACAAGAGTTTGAACTGAGATCTGCTCCACATAAAATCCTAGCCTGCTGTATTAGCAAGTGAGTCCAAGCAAAAGCCCTGAACTCAAAAGTATGTGGGTGTGTGGCCCAGGAGGGCAGAACCCAGGGAGACAGAGCTCTGAAACCTAGGAAGTGAGAGTTTTGAAAGAGATGAAGAGGATCAAGGATTAATCAAGGAAAGAGGAGAGGGGGAATTAAGTCAGTTCATGATCACTTTCACTATAAAAGTTTTGCTCTGGGAAAGGCAATGGGTGAGTTCAAGGTGTATCAGGTGGGCTTTAATAGTGGAAGCAGAGCCACTATGAGCATTATGATAAATCCATAAAGGATTTACCATAGGAATTAGAGTTAACACAATTGTGGGAAAAGCAAGGAAAGGAAAGGTCTGGAAGAGGGAGTCAGAGGATGGAAAAGTCAGGAAGCACTGACTCGGGTTGGCAAGACAACGCTTTCAGAGAGACTTAAGAAGCGAAGCACAGCCAACCTGTGAAGCAGGGCTGTGAGCAGGAGCTCAGGGAGACCTCAGGAGAGCATTTGTCTTTGGCAGCTACTGCCTCTGTGGGTCTGAAATCAAGCATCTGGTGGTGGGCCTATAGTCTGGTCAGCAGGTCCTGTAGTCTGGATGATGAGAGGACCACCATGTGGAGGACAGTGAGGATAAACTGGGACTCACCAGGTACCTCTGCATCTATTCATCTCTGTATCTGGTGTACTTCCAATAGTGTGTTTCCACTAAAGTTCCTCTCCTGACTAATGCTACAGGAAAGGGATTCTCCTACTGTATTTCCAAGCTTAATCAGGCTGTCAATAGGCATAATTCAAGACAAAGAGTGATGCAGGAAAATCAGTTAGGAAGCTATGTTATAAAAGTCCATGCACGATGTGACTAGTAGAGAGAGAAAAAATGATTTAAGAAACAGGAAAAAAATGCAAGTGGATTTGGCAATTTGCTAAACAAATATAAAGAATTTATTTTTAGGGTTAACCGTAGCTAAAATTAGAAATATCTCAATTGATAGATAAATTATAATTGGCAACAATGATTTACATGAGCATACTAATAGTCCAATTCTAGCATTACCAAAGGATTTTAAACCTTTGATAATGTTTCCCATTGGGGAAACCTTAGCCTCTTGCAGCACATTGAACAGAAAAAGCCACTATTAAACTATAGTTTTTAAAATTTCAAATATGAAAATATTTTTTCATATGAAATGCTATCAAAACTTTATAAAAGTAAGAAAATTTCTTAGAGGTGATACATGATATTACTCACCTACAACAGGTTTTCTTGTGAGTGTAAAAAAATTATGCTAGATTTTTAGCAGTGAAGATTCTTCTTGTGTTTGGAGGATTGAAGACCTATGACTCCAACAGACAAAAGAGTAAGATGTGCTTGGAATGCTTGCCTTCCAGAATATTTGAAGCAATTAAGCAATCTTGCTCCTATTTCCTCTAACTACTGAAAAATCAATCTCATAAGAATCCCTGTTGATCCCCAAATCCATCCAGCACAACTTATTGAGGCTCCCCTAGCTGACCCACAAAGTAAATAAGCCTTGAATGATACAAAAGAAAAGGGTCTTCTCTAGCTTTCTTAGGAAACAGAAAAACCAACAGCTTTTCAGGTAAATCCCATGTAAGCATCAAATCTTTCTCTTCTAAGTGATACCAGAGGCATAACGGAAGGATCATTGGATTGAGAGTTTAGATGTCCAATGTTTCTTGTTTTGTCTCTGATACTAATTAGTTACTTTGTCTCACTGAGAATCTACTTTCTGTCATTAAAATGAGGGAACTAGGCCATATAATCTTTACCTTTTTTTCTTTTTGTTATCTAAAATCTTTTGTGATTTTTTTGTTTTTTTGTTTTTTTGAGACAGAGTCTCACATCGTTGCCCAGGCTGGAGTGCAGTGGGTGCTCTCGGCTCACTGCAACCTCCACCTCCCAGGTTCAAGCAATTATCCTACCTCAGCCTCCCTAGTAGCTGGGATTACAGGCGCCCGCTACCACACCCAGCTAATTATTTTTGTATTTTTAGTAGAGACAGGCTTTTGTCACTAAATCTAATAATGACCATACAGTAATAGGCTCAGTAAGTTCCATCCACTCTCTGAGCAAAACATAATGCAGAAAGTTCTTGAAATCTTTGTCTACTGCTAGTCTGTCTACCAACCACATCCCTTAAAGTCTCCATATGGAACCATATTTTGGTTTAAAGTTGGACAGTTTCCTTTAGCCAGTCGTACTTTCTGGTCAGACATTTTATCAAGATCCCAAGACTCCTAACCATAAGCAACATCTCCTTTCATCTGTGGGTCCTCAGTAGTTACCTGCTTTTCTTGTAACATACCCTGTTTCACTTGAATGCCAGTAATAACCTTCTCAGATAGATATTAGGGGTGACATTGTAGACATTTTCTAACAGAAGTTTCTGAGGGCCAAGGAAATTAAATGGTCAACCAATACTATTTGGATGTTTGTTAATATCAAGTCATCATGCCTCCAGACTCATAATCCTTTTCTTATAATTTGCTGAAGGGATTTTTAGATTATAACGTCTATCGGGGGCAACCATTTTGAGAGTTACAAACATTATATAAGATAATTAAAAACAAGATTCATAACACAGAGGTGCTTCATTTCTGTTCTCTGAAGCAAGCTATTGGCCAGTGTGAACCCACTGACCACATGGTCAGCTTGCATCAGTGAAAACAGAACTACATCACTACACCTTGTCCAGAACTGCTATTGTGCAAGTTAACCAAATGTATGTAGTTCTATGTCCTGCACAGATGCAGGACTTTTCTTCTCGGTCACTTTACAAGCTGGGGACTCCCAGCTTGCAACACCCTGCCCGGGCCTCACTCTGCCACACTGGCATGCCCCAGCTTACCTGTGTCATAGCTTGTAACCCCATTTGGTGATTCCTGAGCTTGTACTGCACCCAAGAAGAATGAGGATACACTGGACATTGAAGGGTGAGGAGGGCAGAGAATAATTGTATTGAGCAATAGAACAGCTCTCGGTAGAAAGGGGAAACAGTGGGTGATTACCTTATCCAAAGGCGGGAATGTCCCCCATGTGGCTGGGTTGCAGGCTTTAAACCTTCTGCTTGAAGGTAGGGTTTCACCGGGTACCCACTCCTATCTGCCTAGGCATTTGGCTTCCTCCTGTCTCTATCAGCACTAGAGATAGCAAATATAAGTGTCTTCACCAGTCAGCCAGGCACTTTTAATTAGTTAGGTGAGCATGTTGTAAAACAACAGAAAATGAAGACTGTAGTGAACCAGATACTACCTACCCTTATCAGCTCCAGCGGACTGTTGCCGTATGGGAATGCAGGCCCAGGATTTCCAGATCTTCTCATTTTTCCAGAAAAACTAGTCTCATCTGTGAAATCTCTTGATTGTTAAATGTTGGAAACCGATTCCACTTTTTATTCTGTACAGGTTAAAAAAAGAAAAAACCAAACAAAAATACCCCACTGTCCATGCCTGTAGGTCAGAGTAGGCCAGCAGATCACCAATATACAGTTTCTACTAAATACTAATGTTAATACAAGAAAAATATTTGCCTTATTGGTTTACAAGTTCCAGAAGAGTGGAACCAAAACTAAGTTCTAAGTAATTAGCGTCAGGTAAAATAAGGCTATAGCACAATTATCATGGAGAGGATGAAGACCAAAGTCCTGAGTAAAGTATTTTCCTAAATTTCCATCCTTCACGCCTGTGATCCAGTCATATGCAATCACTTGTTCTTGAATAAACCATACACTCTGTCACTTCCAGGCCTTTGCACATGCAGGCCCTGGTCCCTAGATAACCTCCATACCTTCCTCTTGCTTTTATCAATCACCTTATCTTCATGCTCCAGATCCCAGGTCAAGTCTCATCTGTTCCAGCTAACAGAGAGCAACTCCACACCCTATCTGATGCTTTTGCAGTGCAAAGCTCTATGCTTTATCATTCACACAGTACTATTCTTGTCTGTTTTCTTGTATTTCTTCATGATGAATCCAGAAGCAACTTAAATGCAAAATCCCTGTTTTATTAGTATTTGTAGTCTTAACTTCTAAAACATTGTATGGAACATAGTTAGTGAACAATATTTCTTAAATGAATATATGTGAAATCATGTAATAAAGATATATTTTATAACCTTTCAGATAATTAATTTGAAAGATAAAAATATTATTTCACGTAGGAAATGAGTAGCATTTCTATTTTCAGGTTACACAACTTCCTGAGAATAGTTTATATTTATTTTTAAAATTATAAGCAAAAGGCAGGTCCTTTCCATTTCTTCCTGACTTAAAAGTAGATATGATGGCTGGATTGATGGCAGCCATGTTGTAATCACAAGGAAAAGGCTTAGAGAATTAATGCAGATGTCAGATTGACATAGTTAAGTCATTAAGCCAACTCCACCATCCAATAATGTCCGGGATTCGTTTTTGATAAAAATTAACTGGTTTTTTTTTTTTTAATTCTAAGCTAAGGTACTTTAAAGAGGGGCAGTATCTACTCAAGAAAAAAGCATCATTCTAGGAGGAAAGATTTATTCTGGTAAAGGGAAATAAAAAATTATAGCATATGTGAATTAATGAAGCTTCTTAGAAGAAAAAGCTGAGCTACATGAATTAAATTATTATTATTTACTATCTCTTCCAAACAAATGCACATACATACAAAGTTACTCACTAAATTGAAAGGATATTTTATTTCAGCAGAAAATAAGTAGCACTTAGAAACCAGGGTATTTGTACATAAAGCAAAGAATGGGCTATACAGTACACAAAAACAAGAAGGGAAAAATCCATACAATTACATTAACCGTTTTTTTCCAGTGGAACATAATGAATGCAAACATCTCCTTTGTTTCTTTCACACCATTACCTGTGAGGTTTTTAAAAATACACTTGAAGTGAACATTAGGACATTTTTAATATGCCAATGACTTCATTTTATTAATACTGCTTCCAAGTTATACAATCCCTAACTCAAGTTTCAGTTAGTATTTGCAAATGAAAGACAACCTAAATGGAGTTACGTTTTCTCTGTTCTTTTGAAAACAACTTTGTTAAACTGTTAAACCGACTAAGGCAGTGGTTTCTATTATTTTTCAATAATAGAAAAATATAAATTGCAAAAATATTAAAGTGTCTTTCTAGCAGAGTCCATAGGGTGAGTAAAAAGCATTATTCAAAGAGTCTGAATAAGGGAGGACATCGTCACTGGCTCCATCTTCTGTCTCAGAGACACCTCAGTCTTGAAATACTGGGTCAGTATTCTCAGAAGTGGAAGGGCGTGTCAGGATAATCTGAAGTACCTTTGAGATAATCAGAGGCTGTCAACAAATGAGATGGACGGATTTTTGAAAGTAAGGAGGCTAGTGGAAAAATAAGCCAAATGCCAGGAATTGCCATAGAATATGAGTAATCAAGTCAATGTAGCTACAGACAAAGCTGTGACAAAAGCATGGATAAAATACGTGGCAAATGTTTTAAGCGGTGGCATGAAAAAAATGGATGCAGTGAATCCAATTACGGCCAGTAAGCCAATAAAACAGTGTTAAACACTCTAAGAGTGTCAGTCTAACTCTGATATTTTATTACCAACATGTGACATGTGCATTATCTGTGCATCAGATGATAATAAGTGCTGGGGTTCACCTGTACATTAAAAGGCCTTGTAAGAATTTGCATAGATTTTGGTACACTATACAGGAGTCTAAAAACATTTTTTTTTCTTTCAAACTATACTCTTTAACAGTCACTAAAGCAAAATGATTTAATCAGAATCCCAAATGCTAACAAATGAGTGTGTTTTTTGCAAGCAGCATTTAGCAAGGCAGATTTCACGAAAGTGAAATCCTCATTAGTTTTGTATTATGAAATACAGACAAGAACCATAAAAGGTCAGAGGACAGATATTCAAATCTTTGCCAAAAAGCCTCTTCAAATTTAGCTATTCTATGGCCACTATACATTGCCGGGACTCACTGTTAAGAAGAAATCTTTAGATTTCTTCTAGAAATCTAAAGAGATCCCCATTCTGGACGGGGATCGTCCAGAATGCGAGATTAACATAACATTTTAAAACTGCAAAGAGTGGGAAAATAAGGTCACATTGGGAATGCAGTCCCAGCACATTGAGCTTTTACTATCTTGTAGTAAAATGTGCATATGTATGTTCTGTGTGCCTGGCATTTTATTCATAAAAAAAAGCATGCATAACAGAGATTAGAACCACAGTGGACCTAATCTATGCTATAAAGGAATAAACAGATGAAAGCAAATCTGGACGAGAAAATTCAGTGAGTCAGGCTCAGGAAATGAAAGCAAGTGTGTCTTATACTTTCTAACACACAACATGGCCAAATATTTATAGTCAAAACTTGGTAGAGAGCTCTAGCAATTATTGCTTCTAGCCATTTAGGTCTCTGGTTTTGAAAGAACATTTTAGGGTTACTGATTTTCCAGATAGTAGGAGGCAGTGTAAGAAACAATGTTTTCATCATAAAATGTGTAATATTAAACTACAACAAATGTACTTATTTAATCTCTCATTTCTAACTTCAGAAAATCAGAGCAGCCTTCCTGTTATTGTGGGTTAAATGAGGCTTTATCACAAACGTAAGTCATTTGAAGTCCATAGCTCCTTGAGTGATATGCATAACTAAAAGGACCTGAGAATCACAGACCTCAATCTCATGTCCGGATAATTGAGAATAAAATCTAAAAAATTGAGTTGCTAAACGTAGATTTACTTCCAAAAGCTTTAGTGATAAACTTCTAGCTTTTTTAATATGTTTTGTGTATACTAGAAAGCCTGCATTTCCTTTCGTCATATCAAAACAATTTGACTGTTCTCTTTCCCGCGTGTTGCTACACTGTGAAAGAGTGTGGGATGTCCCTTTTCTCTAAGACCATGCTTTTCAAAAAGTGATCCAATGACCCCTTATGCAGTCTTCACTGTGTTACTAGTTAAGCAGCTAAAATATGAAGGCCACACTCCCCACTTCTAAATGAAAATGTTTAATGATAGAGGTCAGGAATCTGCATTTTAACAAAGTTTGAGAACTGGTCCTAGGGAATGTGACCGCTCTACTATTTTTAGCTGTGACACTTAATTCAGATACTCCCATTAGGAGACTATCAAATCTTTAGATAATATTTAATTTTAAAACTTATCTTTTATGAGGGTCCACTAACTTAATTCAGAGGGCTTACTTAATTCAGCTATTTATTGTTACATATATTGCCTTAAAAAGGATAAGGCTTAATTATATACAAAATTCAATATATAAGGCCGGGCGTGGTGGCTCATGCCTGTAATCCTAGCACTTTGGGAGGTCGAGGCGGGCAGATCTCTTGAGGTCAGGAGTTCGAAACCAGCCTGGCGAACATGATGAAACCCCATCTCTACTAAAAATACAAAAAAAAAAAATTAGCCAGGTGTGGTGGTGGGCACCTGTAATCCCAGCTACTTGGGAGGGTAAAGCATGATAACTGCTTGAACCCAGGAGGCAGAGGTTGCAGTGAGCCAAGATCATGCCATTGCACTCCAGCCTGGGCAACAAGAGCAAGACTCCATCTCAAAAACAAAAAAGAGAATTCAGTATATGATAAAGTTGGTATTGCAAATCACTAACGCAAAGATTGGCTTTTTATAAGTCATGCTGGACAACTGATTAGCCATTTGGAAAAAGATAAAATTAGATCAATTCTTCACACCATATACAAGAATAAATTCCAAATGAATCAAAGTGTAAAGAATAAAACTTTACAAGTACTAGGGGATAAAGATGGATGAATTCCTCTATAAGAAAAGCCTTTCTAACTGTGACTAAAAATTCAGATGTAATTAAAGAGTCAAGTGATAAACTTAACTAAAAGAAAATTAAAGTTTTACAAGGAAAAAAATATAAGCAAAATCAAATAACAAAGTACAAGCTAGGATAAAATATTTGCGCTCTCTCTATACATATATTATATATGATTTATATATTGCCATATATAATATATAAAATAATATGGTTATATATATTCCATTTTATCATTAATAATAATGATATATGATGTATAATTATATAATATATTATATTTATTTATTATTTATTAATATTATATATTACATAATTATACGACTAATATATATAATATATTATTAATATGCTATATAATTATATATTATATATACCATAATATATTATATAGTAATGTATTATATATAACAATTTGATATATAACACATTAATATAGTCTATAATATATAAATTATATATAATATTATATTTATATAATATATTTAATGATATAAAATATATTATTATATTATTATCATGTATTTATAAAATATTTAATATTAAATCTATGTATTATATTATAATATAATATATAATGTTAATATTATATTTATAAATATAATATAATATAATTATATATTATAATTCATGTATTATATTATAAATATATAC